ATTCTATTCTATTCTATTCTATTCTATTCTATTCTATTCTATTCTATCCTGTTCTGTTCTATTGTATTCTATATTCTATTCTCTTGTCTATTCTATTCCTTATTCTATTCTATTCTATTCTATTCTATTCTATTCTATTCTATTCTATTCTATTCTATTCCTTATTCCATTCCATTCTATTTCTATTCTATACAAAAGAAGAAGAAAAGCATTCATCTATTGCTCAAGTTTTTCTCCCTGCTAGTTTTCTTTTAAAGAAAAGAAGCAAAATAGCATTCACCAATCTCTTCCTTTTACCATTCCACTCGCACGTTCAAGGGTGAAGAGAAACAAGTGGATAGACCCATACTCTACCGCATGGTAGGGCAACATGCTTACACCTCTGATGCACCAGAAGACCTGAATTTTAAAGACGGGGAAGTCCTTGAGATCCTGTCTGAAGGTAGGAAATGGGACGTGAATCCCATCAGTGAGTTCAGTTTCCTCTTTCCCTAGCTCGGGAATTCAGGTGGTCCTCGACTGACAGCCATTTGTTTTATAACGGCATTGAAAGAAAAGGGAGTTGAGTGGTGCGGTGGCCTATAGGTGGCGCTCTCGCCTCACAATCCTCACCCTGAATCTGCTGTGTTTCCACAGTGAACGAGGAATGGCTGGAAGGCCGATGCAACGGAATGACGGGCATTTTCCCTAAACGCTTCGCGGAGCCTGAATGTCCTGTGGACACCCGACTTTAGAGGAGGAAGAAAAAGAGTCTCATTTGCTGACACCCCTCCCCGCCAGCCTCAGTTTCCCTGCTGTTGAGAAGATATGACGTTGAGGAGTGGGGTCCTGGGTGCTCTCTGAGCTTGCTTGTTTTGTTGCAGATGTTTCATGACCCAACTAGATAACATCAGCAGTGCCGGGGGTGGACAGTGGATTTTCTGTCATGCCCCTGTCAGAGTCTGAATCTGAGGAGGAAGACGAACAGCTGACACAGGGAGTGGGAGTTGTGGCTCTGTTGGCTGTGGGGGAAACTTGGGGAAGGGCAAAGTCCAGCTGGGCAGAGCAGGGAAGAGGTAGAACAAGGGAGAGGGTTTTCAGAGGAAGACCCAGGTCCAACCCTTCTTCATCCTAGGGCACGCAAGGAGGAACAGAATAGGGTGCAACATGGGATGTGTGGCTTACGAGGGAGGAAAGGGCCCTGATTCCCTTCATTAGCTGCAGCTGGGAACACAGTGTATAAAAGAGGAAGCTGCACACAGCAAGTTGTTGGGAGCAAATCGTGAATTATCTGGTACCATTGTGGCTTATCTGTGTTCCTGGCGTCTTCCCAACTGTGTTCGCTTTCAGGTCTGAAATTCCTTCTCCTGAACCTGTCAAGTTAACCTGTTCAACTTGGTTTGTTTTGGATTTTTAGTTACAGTTTGTATGTACTTTGTTTTGGACTGAATTTTCTACAGTTGAAAAGGCTGCTCCTGGAAGAGTTTTTCTCCAGCCAGAAGGTAACCTTGACGTTGGGGGCAAAGTTGGAGGTATTAAAGGGACTCTTATTGATAATCTGACTGTGTTGCCTTTGTGCCACACCCCTTTGGGTCATCGCATTTTCTGTCTTTTTGGTGCGCGCACACTGCCCTTCATCATGGGTACCTCTTGACTTACGAGCACATTTGAGATCCTACTTTCCCTCGCTAAGCAAAGTGGTTGTGAAGAGATTCACACACCCCACACCCCAGTCTTGCCAATCTGGTGGCAGACGGGTTTAATAAATAAGAAACACAAAGGTGGAAGGACCTCTGAACCAACAGCCTACGTCCCAAGGCTGAAAGGTGGACGGGTCAGGGGTTGAGCTGGTGCCCACCATGAGAGGAGAACATCTCCTGCCTCGTGCCAAAAGGGGCAGAGACCAATGAGGTAGGACGTGTGCATGGCCTTGGACCTCTTCTCCTTGGTTGGAGAAGACTCGGGACCTCTCCAATGAGCAAGGGATGGTGGGTGGAGGCGACAAAAAGTCCTCTTGGAGTGTGTCTCACAGCAGAGCGTGCAAAACGAGGGCGAGGAGGCAGAGGGCCAGGGTGGCCACCAGGAAGAAGATGCTTGCAATCCAGAAGGCTTCCTCGTGGCCCTTGAGCAGTTGAGGGGCTTCAGCCGGGATCATGTTGGTGAGGTTCAGCATGTAGCCCAGGGTCCAACCGATGTCAGAATTGGCAGCCTGTGGGGAAAGAGAGACATTTTGAGAATAGGTGAGAGAAATAGAAATAATAGAATAACAGAGTTAGAAGGGACCTTGGAGGTCTTCTAGTCCAACCCCCTGCCCAGGCAGGAAACCTTACACCACTCTGGACAAATGGCTGTCTAGTTTCTTCTGCAAAACCTCCAATGTTGGAGCATTCACAACTTCTGGAGGAAAGTTGTTCCACTGATTAATTGTTCTCACTGTCAGGAAATTTCTTAGTTCTAGGTTGGATCTCTCCTTGATGAGTTTCCATCCGTTGCTTCTTGTCTTGCCTTCAGGTGTTGGAGAATAGCTTGACTCCCTCTTCTTTGGGGCAGCCCCTGAGACATAGGAACCCTGCTATCATGTCTCCCCTAGTCCTTCTTTTCATCAGACTAGACCTACCCAGTTCCAGCAACCGTTCTTCGTATGTTTCATCCTCCAGTCCCCTAATCACCTTGGTTGCTCTTCTCTGCACTCTTTCTAGAGCAGAGGTCTCTAAACTTGGCAACTTTAAGACTTATGGACCTTTGCTCTAGAGTCTCAACCTCTTCTTTGCATCATGGCTGAGGAGAAGTCCTCCCTTCCTCCCCTTGGGCATCTTGTTCCCTTCCTCGCCGTCTTCGTAAATTTTAATTGTTGCTACTTCATGTCTTCACGTTTCTTAGGGGTTTTTAAGAGGGAAAGCCGCCTGGAGTGACTTCCAGGTGAGATGGGCACCGTATATTTTGATACATGAATAGGTGGGTTTTACCAATGGGCGAAATGGACCCCGGGGTCAAGACCAGACCAGAAACTTTGCCTAGTGAATACAATGAACGAAAATGAATTCATGTGGGTCAATGCCCCCCCGAGACCATCTCACCTGCATTTGGAAGGCGATGTTCTGCCAGGTGTCGTTTCGGAAGCCGTAACCGTCCAATAAAAGGGTCAAGATGTAGTTGGCACTGGCGCAATAATTCTTCAGGTGGAAAGGTTTTTCGTGAGGGTAACTGGTGTTCAGCTGGGAGAAGCAGAGAGCAGCACAAAGGGAATCTCAGTGGGTATTGTCAGCCTCACAAGTCCGAACAATCCAAGGAAGGAAGGAAGGAAGGAAGGAAGGAAGGAAGGAAGGAAGGAAGGAAGGAAGGAAGGAAGGAAGGAAGGAAGGAGATGGGACGGAGATGGGGAGGGAAGGAGGGAGAGAGGGAAGGAAGGAAGGACGGAAGGAAGTTGGGAATGAGAGGGAGGGAAGGAAGGAAGTTTGGAATGAGAGGGAGGGAGGGAGGGAGGGAGGGAGGGAGGGAAGGAAGGAAGCAGATGGGACGGAGATGGGGAGGAAAGGAAGGGAGAGGGGAGGGAAAGAGAAGAGGAGGAGAGGGAGAGGGAGAGGGAGAGGGAGAGGGAGAGGGAGAGGGAGAGGGAGAGGGAGAGGGAAGGAAGGAAGGAAGGAAGGAAGGAAGGAAGGAAGGAAGGAAGGAAGGAGAATAGAGATGGAAAGGACCTTGAGGAGGAAGGAAGGAAAGAAGAAAGGGAGGGAATATATACATATACATATATTCACACATACATGCACGCATATGAGAGAGAGGGAAGGAAAGGGAGAGACTGGCAGACAGACAAGTTGAGTGGGTGGATGGATAAATTGAGTAGATAGATAGACAGATGACAAACAGACAAAGTGGATGGATGAATGGATGGATTTGAGAAGATAGAAAGATATCTATCTAAGATAGATAGGACAGATGATAGATAAATGGTAAATACACAGAGAGATGATTAGATAGATAGATAGATAGATAGATAGATAGATAGATAGATAGATAG